TTCAAGCGTAACGAGGCCGTAGATGACGGTGACGATGAAAACTTCTATGATCACGAAGATCACAGCTTATTGAGCCACGCGAAGAATGTGGAGAGTCCGGCGTTGTACAGCATCTCCTCCTGCCGATGCAGCGTCAGGGTGAAAAGCGTGACAGCCACGCCCAATGCGACGGCCATCGTCATCAGCACGGGGCAGATGGACAAGCGCCAGAGACGCTGGTCGCCTAGGAAGTAGAAGATGCCTCGCAGCGGATACGTCGACATTTTGAGATTTTGATCGAATGACTGAAGAACTGCGAGATTTGTTACAAAGGATAGAAACACCAACTGGATAATTCTTGGCGTGATGGACTCGTGAATAAAGGATGGTTTTGACATTCTCTTAAGAGCCAAGACTTTTGGGGCTACGTTCTAAACGAGCGAGCGGTATGGATCGGTCTCTTCTGGCTGCACCTGTGGGTGCTTGGCGGCTTCCTCCCTTTCGATGCTGGAAGCGAAAAGAGCGGCACCGACGGTGTTGGTGAACATGAAGACTGCTCCGATGCCTGGCACCATCTCCAGCAGTAACGCTTGCATACCGAAGAGCTTGTACTGCATACTGCGCTCGTCAATGAGCGCTTGCTGCTGCTCGAAGCTGAAATTCTTAAGCTCGAAGTAGAAGAAATGATACTCCCACGCTACGATCTGGCCGTTTAGCCACGCGTACATGGTGTTGCCTACCACAGGCACGACATTCAGAGGCACCGACACCACCAGAAGACCTAGACGCAGTAGCACACTCACGCGACAGCAACTGGTACAGATGCGGATACACGACGCGTGCTTGCGTTTGTTGGCCACGAGATCAGTGTGTCCTTGTTCGCGCATGACGTACGCGAACACTTTGTCCTGGTAGCAAGCTAGGCAGATCAAGCTGTAGAGCATAACGATCACGAAACTCTCCACGAGACACAACATGATGGCCAGCACCCAAGCCAACCCTTCCGGTACGCCAATGTCGTAGAGTGCTTGTTCCTGTGGATACATGGCCGCAGACAGCAGCACAATGACCGTCGTCATGCCCACAACGATCGTCAGTAAAAGGGGGCGAAAGGTCATCTTCCACAGCGGCGGGTGTGACAAGAAGTAAGCGAGACCCTGTGCCACATACGTCGACATGCTGCGCGGAGGCTTTGCAAACTGGAAAATGGCTAAAACTGCAACAAGGATACATTCCAGAGCGAGAAATTTCGGAGATAGACATGGCTGCTCCCCCTCTCATGGTGGCTGCCAGCCTGCACCAGTTTTATTAACGCTGATAGATATCTCTATACACTCTAGACAATGCCTCCGGACGGCACTTGTACGCATTGTTGTTGGCGTAATTGGGCTGCACACCGCCGTGTTGCGGTGCCGTGCGTACGCGTTCTTCCTCCTCAAAATGAGCAGCCATTAGCGCCGCCCCTACTGTGTTGGTAAACACGAAGATCGAGCCAAAACCCGGAATCATCTCCATGAGCAGCGCCTGCATGCCGAAGGACGAGTATTGTACCTTGTGCTCATTGACGAAGGCTTTCTGCTGCGCGTATGTAAAGTTCTTGAACTCGAAGTAGAGCAAATGGTACTCCCACGCCAAGATAGTGCCATTGAGCCACGCGTAGATGATGGAGCCGATGATCGGGATCAAGTTTAGCGGCAATGTTACGATCAGCAGTACGAGGCGCAGCCAGAGGCTGACACGGCAGCAGGAACGACAGGCGCGGACACAACCGGCGTGACGCTCCTCGTCCTCTACCATCTCCTTAAAGCCACGCGCTACCATAACCTGTTCGAAGACCTTATCCTGGTAGCAGCCCATGATGACGAGGTTGTAGATGAGTGTGACGAGAAAGATCTCCACCAGCACGAGCATGACAGCTAGCAGCCACGAGAGCCATTTAGTCACGCCCGCATCCTCCAGTTCCTCGGCTTGAGGTACCAAAGCAACGGAGAAGAGCACGACCACGGAGGTAATGGCCACGATAAGCGTCAAGAGTAGTGGGCATAATGTCGAGACCCACAAACGCGGGTGTGTCGCGAAGTATGCAAGCCCCTGCACGACGTAGGTGGACATATTATAGGCGAATGGCAGGACGAGGTTGAAATGCAAAATGGAGGAGGAAAACGTTTTACCGAGGTCTTATTTTGCCGTCGATGATGCTTGATAGAAGGAAGGGCAAATCGAAGCAATCAGTTATGATGTCGAAATGTGTATGTATGGTGGCATGGTGAGTTCTGATCGACAAATTTGAAGGTTCAGTAAGACTGCTGCCACTAAATCATCAGGAACAATATGGCTACATTTGCATTGCCGTACCCACAATGTCAGGCCTGCTCACCATAAAGAGAGGGAAGTGCGTGTTGTAATGAAAGTATTCGCTGAATTCTCCTTGCTATACAGGGCGCGAATAGCGAGACTGCTCATTGTGTTTGGAACGTTTACAATTGTACATGCGAAGGCGGCGCGACCTCAGTTCCCTCCTTTATCGCCACTGAAGAATGCCCGTCTTGTGTCACCTTTGGGAATGGAGCCTGCTACATTAAAGTGGACGGCTCCTGCATGTTTGGAGTCGACTGCTCCCGACGACTTCTCAATTGCTCGTAATGGCAGCTCTAGAAGTGCAGCCTTCAGCACAGCTTCAAATGCGTCATCGATGATTACAGAAACGACTTTCGGGTCCACGTCGGGGGCTGGCGAGTCCCAGGGTGGTGCGGGGGGTTCGGACTCAAGGAGCGATACTCGAGCACAGTCTTGATTGTTGCTCCCTCGCCGTCGCGATTGGGTCGTCGTGCTAACAGTGATCTTACGG